TGTATAGAAATGCCTATAATCTTAATAATTAAGGTAGAATGATAAATTTTAAATTCGTAACCCATTTTTTCTTTATTCGTTTCTTTGAGGCCTATATTGCATATAATGGAAATACTATATTGCCATTAATAATTATAATATCATCAAATTTACATCTAAATAAAAACTTAGACACGGTCCCTTGATGAAAAAGAAGAATGTTATTAGATTTAGATAAAGTGTATATTCAGTGAAAATTTTGTAAATGGGGTTAATTATTTATTCCACATTTCTACCACAATAAAGTGTACATTTAATATATAATGTTATTAATACATTATGATCTTTTATAACATGTATTTTTAGTAATATTAAAAATTAGTATTAAACATTCTTAAAAACTTTAATAAATAAAATAAAATGAATGGTGGATTATTTTAAAGAAAGGACCATAGGTTTAAGTGTAGTTTAGAATTAATGAAAATTTAAATGCAGTTCTTCTAAATTTATAGACGTAGAAATATGAAAAGTTTTACCTTTTATTTTCTAAAATTTTGAAAATTTTATTTTTAATCATAATTAATTATAGAATTTTAAATGAGTGAGAATTTTAAAAGTTTTATAATACTCCCTTCTTTACAATAAAAAATGGGAGTTATTCCACCATTCTTCCACCAACAATCTAAATTCTATTTTATTTTCTCGAAATTTAGTTTTCTCTCTCGTGTTCTTTATTTTTCATGATGTGGTAATCTAAAAAAACAACTCAAAATATTGCGTAGCATATTAAGGGAGCATGAGATACATTAATCCATCTTAATTCATATTAATTTATATTGTATGTTTGAGATGTTACCATTGAATTGGAAAGTTGATTATTGTTTAGCAATTGTTTAATAATGATAAGTACGAGGTAAAATATTTTTCTTTAAAAATAAAAATATTTTTAGAAAGTTTACATAGATATGTCTGATCTTTTTATTTGTTTATTATTGTGTTTTTTTCCCTGTGTACACAATTAGCGGTATTACTTTTTTAATTCCTTTTATATTAAATTAAATTAAATTAAATATAATTGGTGTATTTGTACTTTGTAGCATACTAGTACATAGAAGTTGGTGAGTGTTGTTAAAGCACATGCCATATTATGCCACCATTAACTTTAAAAAAATATATATATATATATAGTGTATTTAAAATTTTAATATATTCTTAATTTATCTTTTAAATATTTTTACCTAAAGATTCGCATGTTTATGCACAATGGCATATATAGGAGGTAAGTTGTCATTGTGGACATAAGTTATATACGTGGCATGCAAGCAATTAACATTCAAAGCGTAATAATTAAAAGGAATAAAAGGAGGTGGGGGTGAGGATGGGAAATAATCGCACATATAATAAAGATTAATAAGGATTTGAAGTGAACAAAATTAATTAGACCATAGGAAAGGAAGAAAAAATCAAATTAAGCAAGGTCTCGAATTTTTAAGATTGTATTTGTATTTAGTGATGAATTAATTTCGAGTAGGTTTTTCAAATATTTAATGGTAACTAACGAAATTAAAGCGAGAACTTATATCTTAAACACAAAATCGATATTCTAATCATCAAAAAAATTAGAATAGAAAGAAGGGGAGAGATGAACACGAAAGATTTGAGCTAAAAAAAGAAAAGATAACATAATTTAATTCAGAGGGTAGGATTGATCGAATAGGTTTTTGAAGGCATGCGTATTAAAGAAGGCTAATATATATCCAAATAGTTAGGTGAGGAATGAAAATATATATAGATACATAGATAGATGTCATATTTTTCTTTGAAAAAAGGCACGAAAATTGAGATTTACCCATATTTGTTTTGTATGATTAAAGTTGAAAAAGTTAAAAAAGTTGGCCTCTGTTACATCACATGCTCAAGTTAATTCAATTTGGAACTGCAATCTAATTACCTTCCCTTAATAATTAATATCTCACCTTTCATTCGCCTCAAGATAGGGACACTTCTTTTTGTACTTTTTTTACTGGTTTTTTTTTTCTTTTCCTTAAATTATTTTCAATTAGACATCTTCCCCTTCCAGCAAAGTTGAAAATGTAGAGAGAATTTAATTAACTTAATCTTAATTTGTTTATGTAAATATATTTCTATCATGTAGAAATCGTGACTACATATGGAAATCTCGAGCAGATAATATGAAGAAATTTTGTTGTGAATCCCGATGTTACACATGAGTGTTATATTACAATAGGTTAAGTGTATCCTTGTGATTGGGGCTGATCAAATCATCACTAACATTTAACATTTAACTTCTGTTTGAGAGGTTGGCTTAACCATAACTTTATCAGACGAGATATGCCTATATAAATATGAAAAATAGTATTTTTGAAACACAAGTGAAGAATACACTAATCATCCATTATAATTGCAAAATTTGCAACGATCAGTGTGCTTTGCCTTTGGGAAAAAAAGAGAACACTATATCACGGACACTTTATGACACTTGTTAAACTTATAATAGCAACTTTTAAAAGAGAACATGTAATTTACAAATAAGCATGCCTAGAGGGCCCTCCTCACAAATTTTAGTTTTTTTTAGGTCCTCAATGGCAACTTTAATTTGCCCCTTTTTGGCTTCTCTTTTAGCTTACAACCTTCATGAATTGCAACACATGCCCATCATCCACTTCTTTCCTCTTCTTTTTTTACACACTTTTTAGTGCATCAATCCAACTCTTTTTATCTCAAACTTTTCTGGACCTTTATTTGTCTATTAATTAGTGAGAAGCATATTAATTAACAAGAGCAAGTGCTTTTGGATGTTTCCTTCTAAAAACCATACTCATTCTTACAGAAAATATTGCTTGCTTTTATTTAGTTTATAAAAGTGGTTGGTTCATATAAATCCCACGCCAAATTCTTATCAACATTGCTAACTTTTCATTACACTAATCCTAGCTTGACATAGATCATTCAAAATTAATAAATTAGAGTAGATAGACGAAAAAGACCCGAGTGACAAAATGTAAATCTCAATAATTTAAAATCAAAATGGAAACACCCAAGAACAGAAAGTTTTAATTTTCACTAATTAGGGATGACAACGGGATGCAGGAACCGCATGTTCAGTTTGAGAGTGGGGAATTGGTTTGTAAGTTGGTGATTGACAGCCACTAAAAACCTTTTCCAACTCTCCAAAATGCCCAAAGCAGTAGCTTCGAATTGGATGTCAATTAATTTGCAAGGCCATGCATGCACGTTTCGCAACTTTCTTCAATTCGATTCTTTCTATATATATACATAATACAGACAGAGAGAAGTGGGGCACGCACAAGCCTTAAATCTTGGCCTAACCACGTCGTTTTAGCTTTAGGGGGAAACATCAGAATCTGCAGCTCCAACGCCATAAATGGTGCCCACCATCCCCACTACTCTCCTCCATCCAATTTTATAAAAACTAATCCATTTCCAGCAAGTATCATCTCCAAATTAGTAATCTCCCTCTTAATTATTCTACTTTAATTAACAGATGGACACAAGAGACTGCATACTCATTTTTACATAAACAGAGAAAGGGGAGTAATTTACAGAGACAGCGCAAGAAGAAAAACAGAGCAGAGGAAATTTCTCATCTTGTTAGATGATGCAACTTGGAAAAAAAAGGAACTCAAGAAACCCTAACCTTAATCTTAATTTCTAATTAATTAATTAATTAGGTGATTAATTACCTTACCCCAAGCACTCCAAATTTTCTCCCCTACAAAACTCACAAACCTTCTCACCGATCCTCTTGATTCTTCTTCTTCTTCTTCTTCTTCTTCTTGTCCGTCATCTTTTTTGCGGTTTCTCTCGCCGCCATTAGCGTCGCGGCCGGTCTCCAACGGACGAGAATCGGACCCCTCGCCCTTCACCTCGGACCGATTCGACTCACCGGGTGCCGACTCGGTATTCCTCTTCCTTCTCTCTCTCTTACAGTTCCTCGGCGTGGCTCCGGATCCAGTGCCTTTGGTTTTGGCCAATCCCTCCTCGTATGCGTCGATTATTTCGTGAATAAGTTGGCGATTGGGCGACGCGTCCCATCTGGCCCAATACCGCCGGTAGCACATGAAACAATCGCAGTCGAAGAGCGGAGCGTGGTCGACACCGCCCTTCCCGCCGCCGTGTTTGCGGCTGGCCTTGCGGGCGCCGGAGAAGTTGGAGGCGGTGGCGTTGGAACCGGAACTGGAACAGGAGATGAGGTAGGCGAGGACCTCTTTGTCGTCGGCGGAGAGCGCCAGGGTTAGGGCGAGTATGGCGGCGGGGAGAAACGAGAGGAAGTCGGAGATGATCGGCGGCGAGGGATGGACGGTGCTTTTGCGGCAGAGCTTCTTCATGGTGAATAAGGGAGAGAGGGGAAAGGGAGTTGAAATGAAGCGGTGTTGAAGTTGGAGTTGAGGTTTTATTTTCTGAGAGGCATCGGCATCGGAGTTGATGACGTGTGTGGAGGGTGAATTGGGCAATATTCACGTGCGACACAGAGCACGATTGAACACTGCTGCAGTGATTGACGAGTTCCCATTGAACCGCTGTGATTGATCGGTATGACAAGTGGGACCCCCCACTTCTGGTTCAGTGTAACATCCATGTAGTCAAGCATATTTCAGAGGATCACTGAAAATGTCCAAGTCAAACAAACTTCACAATCCCTTATAACGCTGCCGTTTGTGACTGGGCCTCGACTCGGTCTTCAGTCCTAAGCCCCACCCGTTGCTAAATTTCCAACTTTTTTTTTTCTTCTTATTTTTAAATAAGCGTTCGTCAGCAACCTTTTCACATACTGATAACCTTAAAATTTATTTTCTTAAGTCGTGAAATCAGAGCCGATTGGATGGTTCTTTCTTCGACAACATGATGTGCGCCATGTTCTTCCTCCAATGCCACACTTGCATTTTTCATTACAATAAATTAATCTTCAGAATACGGAATAAATTATAAAGGATTGGATTTTGAGGTGCGGCATTGTATTTGTTTTCCATCTCAGCTGACGAGAAACTTTGAATTTCTCACTCTACTTTGGGTTTCACAGAGAGAGAGAGAGAAGAATAGGTCAATAACGTTTTTGGATATTAATGTAATCCACGCATTAGTGATCCAAACACGTTGTTGATGAAGAAAGAATATAGGCTTTTGTGGAATAATAATCATTCTTTGCGTCCTAAGTCAACTTCTATAGGTTCTTAGACATGACTCTACTTCCCAAATTCAAAGTGATACTTTTCCAAACAAATTACTTTTATTCAACTAGAGTTCATTAAATTATGGAAGTTATTGAAAAGATTAAGATCTTCCCAGATAAGGAAAGGATGAATGGATGATGATATGATGATCCAGCAACAGTTTTCAGGAAGAACTTTGTAGACGGCTCTTGATCCATGATTCAAGGTGTTTGAGCTCCTCTATGCTTATCGAATGGCCGAGACTGGGATAAGCCTTCAGATGAGATCAACAAACCATTTCAGCTTTTCTGAGTCAAAATTTTGTAAGGATTTGCTGAAGAGGAAGTCCAGAAAGTTACCTTAAATTCACAGTTTAGTCCTGCCTTTTCAAGGAACGGTGGCCCAGCTTGCCCAGCTTCGAACAATACGGTTCTGTCGTCAATTCCATGAGACCATAAAATTGGTGTCTGCACAGACATTTCAGATCTCAGAATTTGTTGCATGGCATTGACACTTTTATAAACCAAAATGACGAGCACTCAAATAAATACAGAGGACTAAGAGATATGCATGCGACTGTTTGAGGATGGTCAATGACATTATTAGTCTGACTTTTTAACGGATGTAACTAAGTGTTGTGCTTGTGTGTAAATGAAAGCAGAATCAGCTGTTTGAATCTGACAAAGTAGTTATATTGATATATATGTTTTGATAAAAAGGTTTGCCTTCACTGCTTCACGATTGCACAGAGCTCAACAAGAACTACATGTTTCAATTCCATAAAAATGATCACAAAATAGAACTTTACAAATGCAAAATGTAAATCATGAAAATAAATACCAGAATCTAAGAAAATATTAGCAGGAAGCGAGCTCTTCAAAGAACCAGTCCATATAACAATTCGAAGGATGCTCAAGCAAACTATATTCTTCTGGCCCCCATTTCACAATACAGACATAATCATAATTCATAGAAAGAGTGAAGTACCCTTTTTGCATCTGGATGTATTCGGTCCATAATAGTTGAATCGAAAGGAACCCATCCACTAAATACTGCGCCTCCTCCTAGAGTTTTTGGATATAGCAGAACACTGGCTAACGTCAAGGCACCTGGAAGGAGTTGTTTCAAACTAGGAGTTAACAGCAATCAGAAGAAACTATGATACAATGTCTTTCAATACAAATATAAAGCAAAAATAGATGGGAGAAGAAAGCTCTAGACCTCCTTGACTGAATCCACACACAAATATATTATTTGGATTTATCCCACTATCTACCACCTTGTCTATCTTTGCATGCACACTTTTTACTGCTTCAAGCACAGAGCTTTCAGCCTTTGGAGTATCCTGTTTCATGAAAGCATGAAAAATTTAGGGAAAAAAGATCCAATACAATCTTCATTCATAGAGGATTAAAGAAAAAACTAAAAATGAAACAGCCAGCATTTCCCTATTGGAGATTCTTCAGATGCTTTGTCCTTTGCTTCCGCCCCTTAGGAGGTCACTTTAGAAGTTAATAAATAGTCCATTGTTGATGATGTTTGGAGTAAATCTCCAAAAGTTTAGCGAAGATGTGTCTTAGAGGTATAAGCCCCTTTCTAAAAATTGAAGAGTTTAAAAACAATAAACTATTTTTGCTACAAGTTGCATGCTGGTGTATATCACAGTCACAGAGAAATTCTTCACACAGGACAACCTTTTTAGGAATGAGAAAAGTTATATAAAGATAGCTTAAAGCCTTAACTTACAGCAGTTACAGGAATCTCATGAATGTCAAACCATGAAGGCATCACAGCACCATCTGCAAGTGGAAAGAAATAAGCAAATTGCAGCAGAAGAAGATTAAAACGCTTTCTTAAAGAGAAGATGCTAAAGACGTCAAGTGGGGGTAGGGGTCGCAATCATAGACCTACCATATTCCCGGCTTTGCTAGACCTAGCATATTCTTACCTTTGTACTTGAGAATGAGTGGAAGTATTTGCATTTAGTTCTTTACAAGCCCTTTTTCTTTTAGTTTTCAGGTTAAATTCATCCTAAGCATAAGCTCACCAAGACATTCATTAGAGAAGAACTGCCCTTTTCCTCACTGACCCAAAAATCATCTCTAAAATCTTAGACTACCACGTTTCAAGCATTGCGCTTTTATCCGATACCACTCTAAAGCATTTAAGCAATTAAGCATAAATTGACCCCTTAGTTCAAGACAACGGGGCAATTAAAGCTTATTATTTCCAATTCAACACACTAAGCATATGATTTCTTTAATTAGAACAAGAAATGGGGTTAATTAACACAAGAAATCAAACCCAGAAACATATTTGATAAACTACACTGATAAGGAATTAAATTTCATATTCGTAACATGGGCATCGACAGACCGTGGGAAAGAACAAAAAACCTAAAACCAGATCATCAAAACTTACAGTTACACGTGACTGGGTTGGAAGGAGCAGAAGGGAAAGACCAGGAAGTGCTCTTGAACTCAGGGGAAGTGAAGATATTCTTAATTGGCTCGTTAGCCGGACCCGAGTCTCCCAATCCATGAAGCCAGAGGACGAAGCTTCTAGCCGCCATGGGATTTAGGGTTAAGGAAGGTTTGTAGGGGCGAGGAAATAGAATTAGCAGAATGGTAGCGCCGAGGGTGGCTGCTGAGAGTGCGATGGACTTGGTTAATTGTTGAGTTACAGATGCAGTCGCCATTGCTGGTCTCCCATGGCCATCGCGTCTTCTCCGCTCCAGTAAATGCCTGAGTGGGGACTGGTGAGTTGTTGGACAGATTCGGAAACGGCGTTTCCTTGACTTATAAAATCTTATTGAAACGTGGATGGTGATGGAAATGACTGAAGCTTCAATTTCACGAAAGTTTCAATGCAAATTATTTATAAAATGTTGATTGTTGATCTTATTTTTTTTGAAATGTTATAAAAATAAAAATAAGAAATCATAAAAAATATTAACTTAACAAATGTAGGTGCCGTTTTTTAAAATGTTATAAGAAAAAAAAAAATTCATAACAAATATTTACTTAACAAATAAATATTTCACCATCTTTAAATAAATTTACAATGATTTATATTGGTGATATTCTTTTTATATTTTGTCGATTTTTTTGAAATATTATAAATATGTCAATTTATCTCTCATTTTGATATCAAACTCATGGACATATAGAAATGTCGAAAGAAATTTAATACTTTGCGTGATATATTTTTTTAATAGGTTGAGTTTAGGATTGTGTCGACTTAAAAAATTGGGTAAAAATCCCCTAAATTTGTGTTAAGTAATGACAGTTTCAATTATTTTTTTTAGTTCAATAATATGCGAGATCAGATATGAACTTCAATTTTTTGATCGAATATATATGACTAGTTAAATTAAATTATGCTTGATTCAATTTTTTTTATTAAATTGGACCCTAGAATTAGATAAGTATTGCATTTTACTTCGATTTTCACTAATTCTAACAAAAAGTAACATGAAAAAAATCTTTCAAATTTTCACTCAATGAAATCAAGATTTGAAAAAAATGAAGTTTGATCACAGCATAAATCGACTGTTAAATAAGTTTCACACAAGTTTAAAAAAAGCTCTATAGTATGTTTTGTGATTTATTGAACGCATATAATACCTTCTTTTTGTTCATCAATTATTCAAACGAACTTTATTTAAAGACAAGAATTACAATACTTTTACAAGTTTAAAATAAAATATTGCAATGCGGAGCAAATTTTATGAAACTAGAAAGTATTGAGAAATAATGGATACAACTTGAAAAATTAGACTAAAAATTTAATTTTGCCTAAAAATTATTTATAATTCATTAAAAAATAGTTAAGTAGATAATACATTGTTATAGTTTTCACACCACATATGATGGCTAATATGGCACTAAAATTTATATCATTCATACCGAATGCATAAATCATTAAGGAATATCACATCATCATTTTGGTAAATAAATTATGGGCGTGGACATAATTTTCTAATGTCACTATCACCAAACTACTTATAAAATTACAGACTTTCATCCATAAAAAAACAAAATAAAAAATTTTAAACACGTTTAAACCGAAATAAAAATGTTTAGCCCTATTTATAGTTCATAATTTCTCATTTTTATCGATTTTTGTTTTTAGCGTTTCCTCATTTTTATTTCCATGAAAAGATGGAGATTTCTACTCTTTAATTAACAAAGGGGGATTCTTTTTTTTCTTCCCCTTTTTTGAGTTCCAAAAATCTGGGTTCTTTCATAAAAGTCAGAGAGAGAAACATAAGAGAGTCCTTGTATTTATAGACATGGGTGATGACGTTCAAGTACTCCAGGGATTTTGCTTTTGATTTTATCCAAAAAAAAGTTTTATATCAATACAGATAATTTTCCTTTTCTATATATCATGGTAAAATGGTAAAATCAACGTGAGACTTTACTTGCATTCCTTTTCAAATCTAACAGTTTTAAGACGACTCTTGATCCATTGTACAAGGTTTCTGAGCTCCTCAATGCTTGTGGAATGACCCACACCAGGATAAGCCTTCAAATGAGATGAACAAACCATTTCACGTTTTCCGGAGTCTAAATTAAAAATTTTGTAAAGATTTTAGTAATTAATTACCTTAAATTCACAGTCTAGTCCTGCCTTTTCAAGGAACCGCACCCCGGCTTCGCCAGCCTCCGGCAATACGATCATGTCATCCATTCCATGGGACCACAAAATTGGTGTCTGCACACCACCATTATTCACATCTATGAAGATACAACTTGTGTGCAGCATGCATGCATTCACACTTTTAAGTCTTATGAACTAATATTAAAAGTAAAGTACCCTTTTGGCATCTGGATGTATTTGGTCTATAATTGTTGAATTATTTAAAGGAGCCCATCCACTAAATACTGCGCCTCCTCCCAGAGTCTTTGAATATAGCAGAACATTGGCTAATGTCAACGCACCTGCAACAGCAACGAGAACGAGTTATTGCGTTGCGCGGATTGAAACCGAATAGAGAGTAAGATCCCAGCTACAATAAATTGGAAAGAATGATAATAATAAACACGAAAACTTCAGATGAGACAAAGAAATTCTCTCTACTTTTATGTCATACTATTTCTCACTTAATTTGAGACAGTTTGCCAAATCAATAGATTTGGTCAAGCATATGGTTACATATTGGCCCGGGCAAAGTAAGATTTAGTGGCCACAAATGTGTCACGTAAGGCAAATAAAGAAGGGGGGAGAGACTAAGACCTCCTTGACTGAATCCACATATGAATATATTATTTGGATTTATGCCACCATCAACCACATCGTCTATCATTGCATGTACTCTTTGCACTGCTTCAAGCACAGAACTTTCAGCATTTGGAGAAGCCTGTTTCATGAAATTAAGAATGAAAAATTATGGAAAAATAATGCTACGCAATCTTCATCTAGAGAGGAGTAAAGAAAAGGAAAGGGAAAATAGTGTGTTGTAATTGATAGAGTTTGCAGAGAGTAAATTTGCAGAAGTTTTGAGTGAAGATGCGTCTCACAGCAGTTACTGGAAGCTCTAGAATGTCAAACCATGAAGGAATCACAGCACCATCTGCAAGGGAAAAGAAACAACCAAATTGCAGCAGAAAAAGTTTGAAGTTAAAAACACTTTCCTAAAGAGAAGATGCTGAACACATCCAGTGGGAGTGGGAATTGCAATCATACTGCACCAGTGAAATTCTGGCTTTGTAGTTGGGAATAAGTGAAAGGTATTTGCATATTTTAGTTCTTTCTCAGCCATTTTTCTTTTAGTTTTCAGGTTAAAGATCACCAAGACTTGATCACTAGAGAAGAACTACCCTTTTCCTTACTGACCCAAAATCATCTCTAGAAGTAAATTTTAGACCAGTAAGTTTCAAGAATTGTGCTTTTATCTGATAGCGTTTGAATAAAAAGTACTTTCTAAATAAAATTAGCATGTAATTTTGAAAGAATTACTAATAGTTAGTATAACTTCCTGATGATTTTTAAAAGACTTAAATGTTTGTTTGAGAAATCTACAACAAATATTGTTAGGGAGAAATCCGAACAGGAAAGATGTCAGGCGTTAGAGAAGACAGCTGGGCACGGGGACCACGGTTTTATGAACGTATGTTGTCGAGTACTGTTGGAGTTGTACGAGAGTCACGTCGTAGGCTTCAACCCATAGCCTGAAGGAGGGGGAGACAGTCCGACAAGTGGAGGTGCCACGTCCGTCGGAATCTTGTACCGTCTAATGTCCGCCCCTGCCCGTCGGAATCTCGTCCTGTCTGATGCGGGTTGGCCACCAACGCGTATAAAAGGTAGGACTCCACCATCACTACCAAGTGAAAGATCTCTCACTGAATCTACTCCTACTCTGATTACTCATTTGATAGTCGGAGCTTATGGACGGGATACTGCACCGGTATGGAATTTCCTAGTTCTAGATTCATTTGCTCATCACAGACCCTGCATAGGACACGTGGACCTCTCCAAAACTCGCTATAAACAAATATAAAATACTTTTTGAAAATTAAGATTCATTCAAAAATTTTTAGGAAGAAACATCCTTAGAGAAGATGATCCAAAAATTACTTTGATGTTATCGATCGAAAATCAGTAACTAGAAAAAAAGTAAATATATTTATAACTAGTAGAATTACTTTTTGTATTTGTTGTGCACCAAATAAATTTGTTATTAAGAGTACTTTAAGAAAATTATAACCAAATACATAGTTAAAAATTAAAAATACTTAAATTAAAAGATATATGGGACTCACGTCGAAGACAGTAGGGATTTTTTTTTTTTTTTTTTTTTTTGAGTAAAACCAAACAGACAAAAAAAAAAGGAAAGGAAATTAAAGCTTATTATTTTAAGCTCAACACACCAAGCCTATGATTCCTTTAATTCGAATAGGAAATGGGGTTAATTAATTAAAGAAGAAAGAGAGAGAACCAAATAGAGAAGGGGAGAGGAGAGAGAGAGAACGTGATTCACGCTCTCCACCTCCAATCCAAATGTGATTCTTCCATCACTTTAAAATCAAATTAGGTGGGAAGACAATTGATGTAACCCACAGACTAGTTGTTAAATTCCATAGCGTCCTTAACAATACATGGGAAATGATCAAAAGCTGATGGAAAAAAGAAAGCATAAATGAAAATGAGAGTTACCGAGAGCCGTGACTGGGTTGGGAGGAGCAGAAGGGAAAGACCAGGAAGTGTGGTCGAACTCAGGGGCGGTGAAGAGATTCATAATAGGCTGGTTGGGCGGACCCGAGTCTCCCAACCCATGAAGCCACACGATGAAGCTTCTGCCCACAATGGGATCTAGATCTGATGTGTTGGCGGCGGCGCAACCAAATATAATCAGCACGAGAAATAGATGCAGTCGCCATTGCACCTGCTCTCCCATGCCCATCATTGCCTCGGGTGGGTTCCTGGGTAGCCTACCGCGGACGTTATAAATCACTACATCTCAATTATTATTATTATTATTATTATTATTATTTTGAAATAAATGCGCCTAGACACTCACGTGGATTACAGAAAGGTTTTGGAGAAAACAACAGATGAGCGGCAATTTCTAGATACTTTATTTTCCCACCTGTTGGGAATATATAGTGACTTATACAAGACCTAATTAAGAGTGAGAACGGGCCCAAACAAATAGCAATTATACATAGAGATCAAGTCAATAAACATTAGCTATCATTCACAGGTTCCAACGGTTAGCGTTGAGATTCCCTCCACGTTTCAAGTCAAATACCTGTAGCTTATTCGGAAGATCTGCGGGGCAAATTGGGGAAGCTCTTTGTTATCCGGTGATTAAGCAAATCGGGGAAACTCAAGACTCCAAGTTTTCTTTCCGGAGCCAACCAGCTCCTGAAGGCATGAAGGAGTAGATGAGTTGGGAAGCAATGGAGGAGGCAGCTTTTATTCTTTAGGCAATTTAGAATTCGAGTGATAGACTATATGAGAGGGAGAGACCTCGAGGATATTGGAAATTTTGGGAAAGATCTTATGTTGATGCCCGAATAAATTCAAAAAATCCATGAGATTGAGATGTGAATCACTGTCCAAATTTGACGAATCCATTACGACAACTATCATCTGCTCGCCTACTTCAATAGTGGTCAACAATAACTCATGTTCAATTTGTAACTTATAATGACCCTTTTTTTTTTGCTAGACTCAACATATATATAAAAAAAATTCTTTAAGCTGCCTGCGTAATTAACCTCGTTGATGAGGTAACTGTTTGGTTCGTTGACTGTCCATTTCGATCGAACTTATTACTATACCCTTCAGACCCGTGCTCTTGGAGATCAGTATCAATTCAGTTGAGGTCATCAAGAAGGCTGAGCAACCAAGGCCAAGCTGAAGGATGCTAGGTCTCTAAACCTCATCACAAGCTGAAAGCCAATCGTTGCCATAGCTCAATATTTAGTCGGCAAAATTTTTCCTCAGACGATTTTTTTTGCAACGAATGGAAAAATTCAATTTCATTGCCATAGATATAAGGCATTTAACACTTTCTTGCACGCTTTCTATTTTTTTTTCCAGTTACAATTTTGTTACCTAAATATTTATTCAAATTTAAATCAAACTCCATATTAAAATTCTATTTATATTAAAAGGTACTTTTTGTTTAACATAAATTGAATTTTATATTATTTACTCTCTTTTTTTTTTAAAATAGCTTTCAATATAAATCGAATTTTATATTTGTTGGGGTCATTTGTCGCGTCAACATCTAAGAAAATTATCCAACGGATTTAGTGACAATTATTAGATCAAATAATATTATTTACAATCGATTTAGTGACATTTTATTGATATTTTTTATATTTGTTGATTTTCTTGTACTATGATGAAAATGTCGATGGAAATGTCGACGGATATTTATTACGTGAGAATCGGCAGTCCTTTGCCTCTTTTGGCTCATCAATCTTGGCCGGATCCCATTTTTGGATCGGTTGTTTGTTTGAGCATTTTGGACTCTGATACCATATTAATATTCATGAGGTTCCATCTCAAAATCAATTGACAATGAGAGGAGTAGTCCATGTTTATTATAAATCATTGTAATATCCCTTTTATTTTCAATGTGGAATCCTTAATACAACCTCAATACCGTACCTTTTTTAGAATTTTGGATGTCGGAAAACTGTGGGGGAATGGTGAAAGAGGTATATAATATAATGTGGTTGAGGTTGGTAGTGCAAATCAAGTTGTCATTGCATTGATTAATTTTTTACTTTTAAAAAGACAAGAGATTTAACACACGTTTATAAAATTGTATAAACTACTTCTATCATTATCAATAAGTTTTGAGATGAACCTCATGAATTTTAATATTATTTTATTCAAATTCATGTTTACTCTCGATTCGAGATAGGATTGTGAAGATCATCTAATTATGAAAGGCGTTGGTTATTCTTTTTAATATACAATTATTAATGGTGGAAGGAAATCATTTGTCACTCTAGTCAGGAGACCATGTCTCCCGGAATCCTATTATTTTTACCATTAAAAGTGTGTCAATGTTTCGGTTTTATTCTTTATCAAAAAAAAAAAAAAGTTTCGGTTCTATTTCTTATATATTTAACATTTATTCAATCACACACCTACTATTAAAATAAATAGTAATTTAATATCATGTCGTCAATATGAATTATGGCGTGGATTTCATTAAAAAGATCTTGCTACATGTTTTTGAAACATTAGAATTGAAATTAAAATAAATGTTTAATAATTATGTATATATTTAACCTAGTTTATGTTTCACAATTTCTCACTTTTGGTTAATCTTTGTTTAGTTTTAGCTCATTTCTATTTCCACACGAAAAGAGAAGGAAGTTTTTCGTTTTCACATGTATTATAACACTCTATAAATGTAGCCCGTAGAGGTTTAATCTTAAAATAAAAGAATGATAAGTATTACTAATTATGGATTCATCTCAAAACAAATTGACAGTAACCTATGTCTATCATATAAGCCATTGTAAACTCCATTTTTCTTTTCAACATAGATTCCTCAAATAGGTAACGTAGGAATTAAATTGAAAAAAAATACTTTATTATGACTAAATAATCCAATTTGGATCTGCATGAGAAAAATTGGACCTAGAGAAATGAAATGGATAATCAGTCATTTCTGCACCTTTCTTCGGCCTGACATCCCCTATCATATTTGTTGGAAGCACCGTCGTTAGGGCACGCATCACCTTTGCAAGGTGTATTTTCATCTTCTCCGAGAGCACCATATCCAATATCTCTTGCAGTTGCTGTGAACGACCACACCATCACCATACTGATAATGCAAATGGCTACCATTTTGGTGGCGGCGGCGGCCATATTTTGATGTCAGATATATATAATTATGTCCTTTCTTTGTCTTGTGTTTTCGACAAATGAGTTGAGTAAAATTATAAGAGAATGCAGTGGAATTTATATTGGGTTGAAGAACCACCATGAATGAGGTGCTTTCATTTCTATTTTTACTATCGGTTTTAGTTTGACTCGTCTCGTTCAATTCTTGTGGTTGTCATTAAAGGCGTGATCCGAAGTGTTCTATATTATTGTCTATTTTTATCCCAAAATATAATGCTGTCTCTTCTTCAAACATTATGTACAATTGATCAAGTTTTCTCTTCAGTTTAGATTTAATATTTTTTATTATTAGGGTCGATTTCAATTATGTTGCGGTTTCATTTTAACCTGTAAAGTTTTAAGTTTATCTCCAAAAATTCTTCCTTCGTTTCCTAGTTAATATCAAAATCGAATCCTAATATGATAGCTGATTTTATGATTTAAATTAAATTAATATAATTTAAAAGTTCTTGATAACGACGGACATCATTTTTAAATTTCAAATTTTATAGAGAAATAAAGCTGTCCAAATATATTTTACAAAACATAGTAGATGTTTTTTATTTATTTTCGATAGTTATAAATTTACAATTATTTTTAAAAAATAAATTGACAAAACATTTTTATATTCAAACTTTCACATTTTTGTGGTTTAAATTTTTTTTATCCACTCATTATAATATTTTTAGTAGAACATGTGGGGTGAGACATCGAACTCACAATCTCTGAGTTATAAATATATGTTACGTTAATTACTGTTAGGATATTTTTTTAAGAAAATAATAAAGAATGTATTATTTTATTTTTTTATTTTTTTAACTTTTGCTCTCTATTGTAGAAAAAAAAGGAGGGGGTCATAAAGTAATTGTTTTTTTTTTCTCCTGAAAAATATTAAAAGGAGAATATTGAAACCTTGGATCAATGAACAATAATAACTTAGCCAAGTTTCTTCTCTAATCTTTGAAAATGACCCGATTTTTGTGCTTATAAAAATTGTAGACTTTAACTTTAAACATTAAAATTTATTGGTGAAATTTTTTCACTTAAAAAAGTTTGAGGAATAAAAAGTTTGTATGAGTTATTGTAACAAGTATAGAGGTTGTTTGTGATTTATGCAATTTCCTCCAATATAAAACACATTACAAAGTGGCCGGATGGGATATATATATAGTTGAAATTTGAGAATGTTGGTAAGAATTATTTAATATTTAATTTAACTTTTTGTTAAAACGTAGGTTAAAGGTTTAAACACACGACCTTTTAATTAGAGATAAATATATTAATTATTGAATTATGCTTAAGTTAACTGTTCGACGAGAAATTCAACGAGATAAAACTCGAATTAATGAACTTGTATTTGTATTTAAGTATGTGGGTGTTACAATCTCTAATGTATAATCCTCTGATTAATTCTCTCACATTTAAACTTTAATCCAATTGCTCGTGAGCTTGTATTTTTATGGTTGATGCCTTCAGCTTCTCGCTTGACGAAAGATCTTTGAAGTCTTCAGCTTTGAGTTTGTTTGAAGACTTTGACTTGTTGATGAAGTTCTTTGGCTTGTAGCTTGATGAAAACTTTGTGCGGCTTTGCGCTGGTGAAGTTCTTTGACTTTGCAGCTTGTGAAGTGTTTCGACTTTGCAGCTTGTTGAAGTTCTTCGGCTTTGTAGCTTGTGAAGTTCTTCGGCTTTGCAGATTGTGAAGTGCTTCGGCTTTGCGCTGCTTGTTGAAGTTCTTCAGTCAGTTTGATGAAAACTTTGCAGTTTGATGGAGTCTTCAAGTATTATTGCGTGGGAGAAAATATTCAATGTTCTTCAAGTTTCATACTCTTCAAGTCTCTAATTCTTCAAATCTTGTTGGCTTTGGATGCTTCACTTGACTCCGAAGGATTGTAGACGATTATGAGTGCTCTTAATTTCCAATTCTTTTAGACCTCTTCCAATTCTTCTTCCTCTTGACTTCTTTTTTTCCCATCAAATGAGAGGTGACCATCTATTTATAGAGTCTTGGTGGTCTTTTATGGGCAATCGACTTAATGGGCCATGAGCTTAGGCCTGGTCTCTTCATGGGTTTGGATCCAATTAGTTGATTTCATCGGACGACCCTAAGAGAGACACGTGGCACAATTTGATTTCTTGATTTAAAAATCAATTTAGGACACGTGTAAATTTGTGATTGGTCCTAAATATAATTTTAATTTTGTGACGTGGCATTTAGTGATTAGCCGAAATTTCTCCGTCAACATTAACAGAGATAAATATGCTAACTAAGCTCAAGTTGGCATTTGATACGTTAATCAAAATATAATTTAGTGTCAAATCTTGAATTTCATTGGATTAAAATAATAATAATAAATGCTTGAGTAACCTAATAAATAAGTATTTTTAGTTTTTTTTTTTCTTAAGAAATAAGTTTTTTTTTAGTTGAACAACAAACCGTGAATAAGTATATTTATCAATTATGTGAGGGGAAGAAATATGGATTATAATCTCAAAATTATGGAAATGTAAATTAAAGTAATCAAAAAGTTAAATTGAAAATTTGAAAATTCAGATATTAAAATAAATATTTCAACCTGAAAAACCCTATCTTGTCGCCAGAAACGATCAACGGTTACGATCTCCCGTACCCATCCGCCACAGGCCTTGCTATTAAATGGCGTGCTAGGGTTCGTGTTCACAACTACTAAGCGCAGCCTCAATAACTTCGTCTTCTCCTCCTCTAATTCCTCCTTCTCTCAATATTTTGTTCGATCGGAAAACTTCTCGTTTTCGATTGTGGATTTGGCTCTTTGATTTGTTTTCTAGGTCTTAATGCTGCAATGTACCAAGAGAAGGGTCTGAAATTCAATCGATGCCCTTGTTCTTGACCTGCCGAAGAGGCTGCAGCAAGATCAGACGAGAGAAGTTAACTGGCCGGTCGTTGTTTGAGATCTAATCGGATCTCCGTCGACGAATCTGCTTACCGAACTTCTTACATTTATTATAACCTTTCATTCACAATCCGTTTTGTTTTGAACTTTTATATCTCTTTTTCCATCTGGATCTGTTTGACTATGAGAAGGTGAGATGAGTGAAATGGCATAGGGTTTAGCCTTTTTATGAGAACCTTCTCTCACATCAATTTTTCTGTGTCACCTTCCAGGCAAGCTGCTTTGATTTCCCAGTAGCTTGCGTCTATCGGTGCCTACATCTATATCGTACTCTCTGTTCTTAGAAATTGTAAATTCTTTCTGCGACTTTTGAGCTCTTCATTTGCTTTGTTGAAACCTTATTTGCCCCTTGGCAAGTAAATTTTTGTTCTGTTATTCGTAGAATTGATTGATTCAAGCGGCAGTCAAAAAGTTGGAACCTGAAGAAATGGAAATTGAAATTTTGATCAAATTTCTACATAGATATAAATTCTGCAATTGGGGCTGTTTATGGCGCTTTGGATTTTGTAGAAAAGACGAAGTAAAGGACCCAGTGTGTATCTGGTGACAAAATTGCTCTGAATTTGGACCTAAATGCATAAATTGGGACTTAATTTGAAGAGTCAACCTACTATTATACAATCAGTATGAGGTAATTTCATGTACAATTTAATTGACCAATTATGACTATAGCAGTAACCCATTGCTACCAAAGGCAGCAGTTAAATTTCCCACTTTCAGACCGGCGTTTCGGACAAAATCTCCCCGGCAATTGTAGGCCATTATCGCCGGTGAGCATTTGAAACAGACCAAACTCATTTCCTCTGTTTCTTCCGATCCTGAGACTTTATGAGTCGGAGCTTCATTTGTCGTCCTCTTGTAAGAACCAGACCATTTTTCCTGCATGTACTCTTTTCTTCTCCACGGAGGCACATGCATTTCCCTCATTTTCATGGACTCCTTCATGGCGGAGCACATTAATCTCACCACCTGCTTCAGCTCCTCCAATTTTCCGACGAAGATTTCTGGAAAATTGTTTAGTAACGACGCGTATTGGCTGGTCGGACGGGCAATTTCGAACTCTCTGGCTAGAAAAATTTCTACGATGTAGCGGTTTCCTTCAAAATTTACATCGATGTACTCGTGCTCCCCCGCCGGAAACGATCGGAGTTTCTCCAGCTTCGATTTGCACAGTCCTGTTCCCGTTCAACAAGTCAATTTAACTTTTCTGAGGATCAATTTAAAGTGAAAAGTATGGACTCACCAGCATCAAAGCCTTTTCTGCGCAAATGAACCATCAATTGTCGTTTACCTCCGAGGATCCCAATTGCTTTTGCTTGTTCGACTTCAAGTTGAATTGCCTTTTTCGCATCGATTTCTTTCTTATTTTCCCGAGAACCAAACAGATTTTGTAACTTAATGGCGACCCCCGCAACTGAATCGTTGGAGAAACCGTCTGATTCTTCTAAATCGTTATGTACCTTCTCCCCTCCTCTACTTTCATCATCGTCTCTCTCGATGAATGACTTGACGAGGTCGAAGAGGTCGGCGGCGGAGTTTGCCGGCGAATGGTCGCTGCCGCTGCTGCAATCAACGCCGTGCCGGAAGATTGCAGTTAATCTGTCGATTTTGGCCATGGCTGTGAAATCTACGTGTGCTGATTTTTAGATATCTTTTTAATGTCGTTTGGTTGAGGGAAAGAAGATGGGGAAAATGGAGGATGTGGTCATCCTGTCGCGAAGGTGGAGTTATGGTGTTGTGTACAGTACAGATTTCTCCATAAAAAGATGGAAAATTAATCTATGGAGCCATGACGAGGCGATGACTGCCCGACTGCTGACGGCGTTTATGACCAAATCCGTTTTTTTTTTTATTTCGTTTTTCAAAAATATAAAACTCGTTGGACCATGGATGAACAACATTATGATCAAATGTGCATTAATATTAAATTATTAATATAGCAAGCAATGAGTTTATATATATTTCAAAATTTTTAAAATAGTTAAGAGTGTACTTTTGGGTTCGTATGATTAAGTTATTTGTTGCACTGTCATTATAAAATTATAACAAACATTATTAATTATTAGTTTCTTCAATAATATATGAACATAGTTAGGTAGTTAATGCAACTCTTCACATATGATGTAATATTTTTAATTAAAATAATTATTATTTTTAATAAAAAAACTATTAATTATTGGTTATACATCTAGAACAAGATTAACTTTTATTATACTTTTTAGCAATCTCCACCTCCTTAAACTTCATCCATCAAAGGGATGTGTATAAGCAATGAAAATTGTTAAATTAATGCTTGATCATGGATCACTTATATACACTACCAGTAATGTAATTCCAACCTATATACTTGAAAAATTCTTAATTTTTAGGATCTAATTTAAATTCATCTTATTGAATGCAAGACAATTCCACACAAACTATACTTGAAGCTCTTTTGCCACCATAACTACAAATAATTTAGAGAATATCAACCGCTTTCAAACTTAAAAAGAAAACTATTTCAAAATTTGAAATGTAATATCCAATACAAATATTATTTCAAATTCGAATATTAATTGCGTTTGTATGAAGTTGAATTTTTAACAAAAAAATGGATCACTTAAACTTTTGTCCTTATTTCTATATTAATGAAAGAATCGAATCTTTTACTTTGACATTGATAGCATCCCCTCAAAATCGGGGAGGCAACACTATCATAGATTGTAACTACCATACAACTTTTATAATATATGAAGAAAAAAAACATAATTTACACAACTTCTTACTGGTATAATATATGGAAATGTGAATTCCAACACGGACTCTTAATTGAGAAGTTTAGGTTAGCACATTATTTACACAAGTTAACGCCATAACCGGCGTTAGTTTAATTTGAATGACATGCAAAGCTCGTCCGTCGCCACGTGTTTCCCACGACTGTCATGTTCGCCCAGCACACTACACACTGCACCAGCCCAGCCCCTGTCACGTCATTTCGCAAAACTCTCTTCCTTTTTTGTCCTCTTCTACACGTCATCCTCCTCTACCTCTTCCTCTGACACGGCGCGGAAAATTGGCGCAGCTTCCTTTCTACTTAAACGCATATTCTTTCCCTATATTCTCCATTTCCCTTTTTTGTTTTCTTTTTAAATATTTAATCAGATTAATTATTAAAATCAGCCTTTTCTTCAATGGACAGGGGCAATAAATCCCACTGCGTCCAGATTCAGTGAATCTGGTTTCACGTCAAACCCCAATTGCATTGCATTTCCAAGCAGAAATAATCATAAATTTCACCTTTTTCTCCGTCCACTTTGTCTAGTTCATGGGTAAGTAAGGTATCTTTACCGCTTATTTGCAAGTAATATTCTTTAAAAAATAGTCCTAAATTGAACCTCTGACGTATCAGTGAATTTATCATATTTTTTGAAATTTAGTAGATAAAATATAAACGGTAAAAATTCACAACAGAGTTTAATTATTTTAATTTTGATTACACTCCATCTATCTTCTGGAAATTCTATAGTTTGGGTTGGGCCCGATTTCCTGATTGGACTGAAAGGGGCTGGTCCTGGTTTCCTGTTGGGCCGATATAGTCGGCAAGCAGCGGCCCAGCTGACGCCGTAGGACTCCCTTTCTCAACTTTAATTTAACCAAAAAGAAGACACGGAAAAAAGTCGAAATGAACACGAACGAACTGTCAAGGGAAGGGAGAGGATTCACATTCGGAGGAAGAGTTGAAGAAAATTATATAAATCAAATCAAATCTTGGAAAGAAGAAAGTATTTTAAATTCAAAGCTCCAATACAAGGAAAAGCAGCAGCTGGTCTTCCTCCCTTTCTTCCATTCAAGGCAGGACACAGATTTTGATTTTCGGCCATCTTAGAATCATCCGTTTTCCTGGTGAAATCTGAGAATTAACAACAGACTCATTTACATCACCTGAAACGGTCAGTTTTCGATTATAGACCCTATAATGTAGTCCTTGTTTCCTGCTCTTTTGATTGATTCCGCGTTCTTATTTTCTGTTTCCTTTCTGCCAAGGGTAAATCGTTGATTGTGTTTGATTTTGCATTTGACTCCTAATGTACGGTGTTCGGTTTTATGATAGATCTTGTTATTTACGTGATTTATTGCATTCAACCGATAAACAGCATGTGTAATCTTGGATCTGCTTCTTCTTCTTCTTCTTCTTCTTCTTCTTCTTCTTCTTCTTCTGCATTTTGGATTATGAGTGCATTAGTGTCTTGGATGGATTCTATGAAATTGGTTTTGAATGCTATGAAATTCCATTTTGACGACGGATCACTGTTATTTAGTGCCGTATTAGGATTTAGGGCGATGTAAAGTTGATAGGGTTTATATATTTTTAATAGTGTCTGTCAATATATTCCAAGTAATAGAACATTTAACTTGTTTTCTTCAGGCACTTGGTTCAGTATTTGATGATTGTCTCAACCTTCTACTTCAGGATCTTTCGCTGAACATTAACGGTATCTAAAGCGAGGTCGCTGAGGATGGCTGATGGAATATCGAGTTTCTGGGGTCCTGTCACATCTACAATGGAGTGTTGCGAGAAAAATTATGCTTATTCTACTTATGTTGCAGAGTTTTTTAACACAATATCAAATATACCAACCATTCTATTGGCTCTGATCGGTCTTTCAAATGCGCTGAAACAACGGTTCGAGAAGAGATTTAGTGTACTTCATATATCGAATATGATATTGGCCATCGGTAGTATGTTCTACCATGCCACATTGCAAAAACTGTAAGTCCATATTGGCCATATATCGAATATGATATTGAATATGATATTGGCCATTGGTAGAAATGATGCATAATGTGATTTGATCAGCTACTTACATAATTTAGGTGTTCTGATTGCAGTTTTATCCATTTTCTGTGGCTGGTGAAATTATAGATATGTTTATGAAATCTGTGGTCTTGAATGTTCTTTTGCAACTGAATTTTGGCAATCAATGATCAAACGCTTTTGTTTTCTAACCAGGCAACAGCAAGGTGATGAAACACCAATGATCTGGGAGATGCTTCTTTACATGTACATTCTCTATTCACCCGATTGGCATTACCGAAGTACAATGCCAACATTCCTCTTCCTCTATGGAGCCATTTTTGCCGTGGCTCACTCGATTCTTCGTTATGGAATTGGTTTCAAGGTGCATTATGTGATTCTGTGTCTCCTCTGCATACCTCGGATGTACAAGTACTATATATACACAGAAGACGCCTCTGCTAAGCGGCTCGCGAGGCTGTACTTGTTGACTCTTTTCTTAGGCATTCTCTGTTGGGTTATCGATCGGGGTTTCTGCGAGAAGATATCGCATTGGATGATCAACCCTCAGGGCCATGCCTTGTGGCATGTTTTCATGGGGTTGGGTTCATACTTTGCAAACACATTCCTAATGTTTTGCCGAGCGCAGCAAAGAGGATGGGCCCCTAAAGTTTTACATTTGATGGGGATTCTCCCTTATGTGAAGATTGAGAAACCGAAAACCCAGTAAGAAGACACGAATGTGAAGAGAAGACAGACAATTTTTGACCTGTGTTGAGTGTTTCCCTGGATACAGAGAGGAAAAAAAATGCAATCTTTCGGGCAAGGTTATTTCTTTTCCTTTTTTTTTCACCATATGGAATGAATAGATAGATTTTTGTAGTACAAATAACAGCAGTTATGTATTTTTGTTGATTTCATCAGGGCTTGATTCTTCAGAATTTATTGTTACATACAATAACTTAGCATTTAACTCTTTCACAGAACCGAAGCATGTTCATCGTTTTTACTGCCTGTGGTTTTTACCTTCTTTAGGCCAATTGTTGACTTTTGTACAACAGAATGCTGCTTTTAATGTTTTCATTACTCTATTATCATTTGTTTTATACATATTTTCGTGCTTTCAGTAATTATGACAATTTAGCCCTCGACTTCAACCCTTCGATTGAGTTGAAAGTCATGCACAATATTTGTGCTAGATTTTCAATATTTACCACAGTGCAAATTTCATTCACCTAAAATACATTAACATTAAAAATCCTATATAGTAATATAATACATTTACTGTTTACATAGCTGAAAATAAAACATTTAATCAAGCTATCCGACAAGATTATTCAATCATTTATGAATAATTTCTAGGGCATGCCATATATGAAAGGTGGGACGACAGCAAGAATAAATCATTATATGGTATTTTCCTTCATTTCACTAAGGTACAATGTCCAAGCTTTCTAAAACAATAAGAGAGAACGAAGGCATCAGATTCTAGTTCTAGCCAACCATCCGCTGTTGCAAGATTTGCCCAAGCTTCAAGTAAAGAGCTGCTTGTTCCTCGATTGTGAGATTCATGAGTATCTATAAAGCAGCAATACAGCATATACGATTTTACACAATATTGGTGAAAAAGATTATATGATATACAGAAATAAAATGGGGCACGTAGGACTACCTGATCCAAGATTGTGTCAACAGTTAGGCTCTGAGCCACAACAAATGATTGATGATATATGTAAGCGAATACAGCCATCACCATCTACGTAAAGTATTATGCAATTAGGGAAATGCACATAAATAGGGGAAAGGGCTACACTATCTGAATAAGCAATAAACGGAAGTATTTTGATATGCAACACAAATACATTACTTTTAGACCAGCTAGAACCTCCCACAAAGACACAAAACTACTCTCTCGTCTTCTAAGCTGCAGGCGGGCTAGTTTGTGCACCCTCAACTATTCTCATGGGACAACAACTTCACTCTACTACGTATAGGCCAAAGTAACTCATAGGACATTAAATCCCAGGCAGGTGACTAGTCACCTTGGTTTGAAAGAGGATTACAAACCATAGTTTGAAAGAGGATTACAATGAACTCTAAGAATCAGTGTCAAGTTCCAATGGGAGAACATATTTGTAAAAGTCCTCTGTCTTTAATATAAGGTATGGACCTATGGTTGATCAAGAGTTTTGAATTAAGAAAATTAATCGAAGACAGCAATGTTCAGAGTTCTCAATGGTTCACCTGACAATCCATTCTATCTGTAATTCCACCATGCCCAGGGATGCTATCACCAAAATCCTGCATCAAAAAGAGAAATCGTGTACTGACAACTGATCTCAAAATTGAGACTTTGCAAAACATTACAAGGACGATATTTGAAATGAACCTTGACTTTGAAAGCTCTTTTGAAACCACTCGCAAAGAAGCCTCCAAAAGGAGCAATTATTGATGCAAATAAACCAAGACATAATGCATGTCCTTGAACTGGCAATATGCTTACTTTCTTCCATGGAAACTGACAGAGAATACAGAAATGTGAGTTCCACGCAGATTTGAAGTAACTTCATGAGTCTTGTAAGCTAAAACAATATTGCATGCAGTTCATAGAAGAATGGTGAGTATCCACCTTCAAAAGCTGAAGAAAGTATACAATATACATGCCAAGCAGCTCATATGAATTGGGAAGATTACGCCTGATACAAGCTAAAGGTGGGAATAGACACTTCTGTAGGGGCATAATAGGCTTAGCTCTAAGACCAGTTGTCGAGTAAGAAACATGCTATTGTCAATATAGGCTAATAATTTTTCTAAGATTTGCCTGTCTGCTTTTGTGTTAAGGGTTGAACGAATTAAATTGATAACGATTACTTATGCAGAAAATCATCAAAAGACAAAACCATAGGACAAAATCTGAATGGATATTCCACATTATACATATCTAAAAGATACACATCACGTCAATACAATATTCTCATGGATACTCTTTGTATACTACACATTGTATATATCTCTCCTCTTTCCCACTCACTGAGGATTCCTCAGAAATTTCTCTCTTCTCCTGGTTGCTCTCTAAAGCCCAAATGGGTTCAAGACATCTCTCTCTTCTTCGTTATGTTGTTCAAATGGCTCACTCCTCTCATCTCCTCTCAAGTAAAGCTTGAGTGGTTCACAGGCTTACCTTTCCCCGCTACTCTCCCTCTATTAGAGGTTTAGTCTATGGGTCTAGTAATGAGCTTGCTGACTTCACCAATTTTCTAACAAATGTAAACTAAAAAGAAATCAGCAAGATAATATGGCCTCGGCTAAAGTCAGGTTAAAGACATACATAGATGCACATATTAGAGACAATTTTACTATGAGATTGTAAAATTAATAGCTTTAGACACGATTAAAAGAATTCCGGAAATAGAAGGGAGAGAAGAGATATACCAATCATATTAAATAAGATACAATTTATAGTCTTTACTAACCCAATCAGGAGTCCATCCTGGTAAAGTGAAATATTCGGACTTAAACAAAGGACCAGGATCACAGTGAAGCCAACCAGTTGATAAATCCTGAGATTATTGCACCATATGACAGCAAAAGCTTCAAAATAAGAACAAGCCTCTTCAAGAAAGGTGTTATTACGAAACAATTACCGTTCTTGGACAAGTAAGCCACTGATAACGACCCATGACATTAGCAAGCTGCAAAAACAGTTGAACATCCCATATTCATTAAGTACAAATGTCCGGCTGCATATAGATTGTTAACAAGAAATCATTACTACAAGAAACCACTAGCCTAGTCATTGCAAATGTAGCAATTCTACATAGAAAGACTAATTCTTTTAATGATTGGTGTTCAACTTCACCAATACAATCAAAATGAGCACTATTTTAGGCAATTTAAGCTACTCATATGATAATAGTTCATGATTCTCATAACAAAAACTACGAAGCTCTATAACGTAAATGGATGACACATAGTCGAGCAACCTCGACAACAGGTTGACATAAGAAACTGAATAAATCCAGTGAGGAAAATAGAACGTAAAAGAAAAATTTGCTCACGCCAAAAGCAGATATGATAGTCATAATAGAGGCTCCTATAAATCCCTCCCAAGTTTTCTTTGGAGATAACTTGATCAAAGGTGTTCTTCCAAAGAAGAAACCAAATATATAGGCAGCAATGTCATTGATAACAATAAGTGATGCTGGTAGGAGAAACCTGCAGAAATATTACTCATTCATAAGGAAAAAAGTGAAATTCCAAGGCTAACTTCAAGCCACAGAAGACATGATTTGCTTTAACATAATTTTCTTTCCTCTTTAAGTAGTTGAACTACCAGATGATTCCTTCAAAAATATTGGCTACTGTGAAAGAGGACTGTGTAAAAACGACAATTAGAATCATATGCGTCCATGCATACTGGCCAAATTGATATTTGTACATCTTCTTCTTTAAAGTAAGAATGAACCACATAAAACCTGAGCCCAAAAAGAAAGGGAAAAGATAATGAGGGAATAATGTTACAAAGTTGTCAAGAAAATTAAAATTTCCAGAAAACTGAAAAAACTAATACAATTCATGCAAAAGAAAAATTAAAAGACAATACAAGAAATGGAAATCAAACAAAAAAAAGACCATGAAAATTATGACACGAATAAATTTGCAGTTGTAAACTGCACACCATGACATGATTTTAACGGCACTGGTTTATGTTTCAAGATGGTGAAATTTTTAATAGGGCTACCAACCTGCAATGTATAAGGAATAACAGATAACCATATGGTACTTGATGAGACTGCTCACTAGCTGATATAAAAATTTATCTGAAGTGACAGTATTAACAAGCCGCTGACTTAAAATGCGACCATACACAAATAGCATTGCCGTGAAGAAGAAGTGCCTGCACTTGAGAACTAATCAATTAGTAATTACAAAATGCAAGCTCCTAAAAAAAGAAAGAGATTAGAGAATAGACCACAGAAAAAACAAACGAGCATGAAGCATCAACGTTACCAATTTAATAGTCGGAATCCTGGTAGACGTGTATCCTCACGAGCTCTCCTGAGTAGGTTGAACAGTTCCTTCGCCATGTAAACTTGAATGACAACAACCATGGCCGTAATATAGAGATGCCCCAAGTATATAATCAATGCAAAACCCCCAATCATCCAAATGGTTGAGTATGCACGGATCAAGAACGATTTGTATTTATTGTGGTCATTAACAAGTAAATTGCCTTCACTTGGTTTGCCTTTGCCATCGTCCGAAATAACCTTAAAATTAATTCAAAAGTAAACTATTAAAATTGCTGCACCAACAATATCCCAATGCATGATTGCTGCACCTACAATGAGAGGGAATAAGAATATAGCTAAAAATAGTAAAAATGAAGCTACGGCATTTAAGTTGACAGAAATAATATAGCATTGAGCTCTTTATACGATTTGACATCCCCCGATATAATTAGTACTAAAAATTTAAGCGTCAAGAATGAATAAAACGTAAGAAAAACGGTATGCATCAAAGAGGAAGTGACGAACATCACTTGGCCGCCTCCGATGCCGAGTCCGGCCACCAGGAGTCGACGGATTATTGGTACTGTTGTCGTTTATCATGGTGAGGACTCAGAAATGCACTTATCAGTTATCACTGGATCCTAAAAATCATTAGCTGCACAATAACTGTTCCCTGAAACATCAATTTAAAACAAGACCACAAATTGAGGACTGAAATATTGATTTCAACGCATATAAATAAGTATGCACACATAATGTACCTAGCAAGTCAATGCATACAAATATGTAAAAACACGAATGGTCTCCGGCAAACCAAAGTTATGCGATTCTCGGCTCGAAATTTAAGCATTCGAAAAGCTTGAATTCAAGAAAATGAAACTCGATACCATTTCCAAAACCACCTCACACTTGTGAGAACTAGTCGTTTATCTTCAAAGCTTAAGAATACTTCCAAGCTGCATGCTATCAGTTCACTTCTAACTAGTGGAGGTAAATCTAGGACGATTAAGTTCATTACCAAACAGTTACGAACCAGAAAAATTCAAAAAAACAAGTCGACAATCCCGGAAAATTCGAAGGTGAAACAAAATTCCGAAAACATAGTGTACTCTCCAAAGACACAATTGCCAACCTCAGCAAAAGTAGTACATAAATTGGAAGAGAGAAAGAGAGAAACCTGGTGAGTTTTGGTTGATAGGAGAGCACGGTAGAAAGGAAAACGAAGGAGAGGCAGAAGAAAGAGGGGACCGAATACGAATAATTTGGGGATGAGAAAGCACGCAAATCGATTTCTTGAATAAGGACGGTTGGAATTCGAATCCTAATTTCTGTTTAATTATTCTTTAATGTTTATTTCTCCCTCGGATTTGGGACGGCAATGGCATATATTCGTCATAACTCTGGCCGTTGGATCTTTCTCATCTTTATACGTGGCCTGCTGCTTTTGCTCCACGTAGGCCTCTGGTTCTTGTCCATTGGCGGCCACCTGCTCGTGCTCGACTTTTTAACGAGTTTTTATTTCGATTGTTTATAGTTTAAAATTAGATTTTTAACGAGCACTTTATTTTTTCTCCTCTGAAATCAACCAGTAATTATTATATTCCAAAGCTGAAAAGATTCCATTGAAAATTTTAAAAGTTTATTTACTTTTAAGTCTTTCAACCGTTTGTCAAACTGATGTTTTACCGCGTACAAATGCACGGCTGTTTTTTTTTTAATATTTAAAATATCAATAATGTTGAATAAATTGAGTAAAATATTATTCAATTTAATTATATTTTTAAATTAATTAAAATTAGTTTTATATCCTTATGATATCATTTTTATTTTCAAAAACAAAAAAATGATACAATTTTTTTTAGTTGGTTGAATAATTTTATGTTTTAGAAAGGGTCAAAAAGTTTCAATTTAATTTTTTATATTTTATATTTTTTCATTCCATCCTTGTTATTTGTGAATGTTAACATTACCTTGACATAGTGATTACAAATCAGTAGGAGAAAAAATAATTTTAGGGAGGAAAGTCCCTCCAAAATTTTAAGAAATTAGTAGAAATTTCAAATTTTATTCTCTGGATCATATTTATTATTCTCTAAACTTCTACCAATTTTCCTTAATTTATGTCAATTTACAGTGTTATAATATTTTTACTCTTTAAATTTATGCAAAAAAAAAATTCAAAAGCAAAATTATACGAAATCATCAAGTATTATTCCATATAAAGTTATAATTAGTCCATTTTAACATTCACCAGTTGCGAGATACTAACTTCATTAATGTTAAAATATAAGATACTAAATTGAAAACAAATATCCAAATATTAGATCTTTGATATTTGTCATTAGGGGTATTTATGAAAGTATGTAAAAAGATCTAGTATATGTCATATTTCCAATTTATAATATTATCCCGTGTAAAAATCTAAACAAAACTGTACTAAAAAAAATATCTAAACGAAACTAATAGAAAGTTCACACATGTTCGAGCTGACATAAAGGTTGCACCTGAACAAATAAATTGGTTTGAATAAAGAAGTTACGATAATATTAAATACAAATTATATGGAAACGATGATGAAAATTAATATTAAATAATATTAATGGCAGACATAAATTCAGTTCCAAAATCATTTTGATGTCGAAAAGAATACTCTTTTGAATGCGGAAAATTTTCCATAGTCTTTTTTTTAATGAGAATAAAATTTTCTGTTTGAAATTTTGAAATTAATGCATTGCCTTGTTTATTTGCAGATTCTCTCATTTTCAAGGATATTTTATTTTGACTGTAAAAATTTAAAAAAAATTCTAGGAAAGAGAAATACCCGATTAGTTCCTTCATTGACAAGTCAATTGTTTATTTTAATTTAAAAAACATTTTAATTCATTATTATTTTTATTTTAATTCTAAAAAGAGTAAGGATATATTTGACAGTTCGGTCTGGTTCAGACTTTTTTTTAATGAATACAAATATACAATCACATTCAATAATATTATTTTTAAACAAATAAAATTTAGTGACAAAGTTTGTAGTTGAAGAAATCTTACATAACAGTAATGATTCTCACTTTTCTTACAAATCTCATATTTCATTTGATCTTTTAATTCTTCTATGTGGCTACGGTTAACCGAGTCTCTTCCTCTCCATCTTTAATCTTCTTCAATTGATATTGTCATTGCTATCGTTCTATTGCTCACCATCGACACCATATTATTTCTTGTTATTACCGTCCATTGATTGATATGCTTGTCATTACTACCGTCGCATTAATATTCATCATCGCCTCTTGTAGTTATCATCATCGCCCTTGCTCTTTCTTTACGTTTAATATGTTTACTAACATCATTCCTCTTCGAATGTTCACCCATCAATTGAATTATATTTTGTATATTTTGTTCGGAATTAGCCCCTTTATTTTATGCAATCTTATAGTGCAACTTCTTTCACCATTGATTTGGAGGTAGTGGTTATAACGTTTGTATTTATATATTTTATGTGGAATTTTAATAATCATCGATTTCATTATAATAATAATACTAAGTAAATTGTTAACAGATTAATAATTATTCGGTTTCATTATAAAAACCATAACAATAATAAATGAATTGACAACAATTTATGTATTTGAATTTTTTTAGTACAACATGTGGTGGTAAATGATCGAACTCAATCACTTGGTTTGAGATATGGGTCAATTAGTGTGTCAGTTAAAAAAAATTATTATAAAATTGTATAGGATTTGTAATTAGTCAAAAATTAAAAAGGTATTATGATCTTTTTTTTTCCCCATACATTATATAGTATAGATATAAACTTTCATTGGTTAAAAATCATTGATGTTTTAACAACTTTTCAAGAAAAGAAAATTTGACGTTTTAATAAAGTCAATAATGTAAAACCAGCAGTAATGTATAACCAACAGCACCAAAAAGCAAGGTTACAGCAGCCCCAATTTTACAATATTGCAGCAACCCCCCAAGTTAAACAAATGAATTGAAGTTTATAGCTGCAGTAACTAACAAGAAGGTGAAGGAAGGGAGGAATGGGGACAGCGAGTTTACATAAATAATTTTTTAGTCCCTCCTCTATCTCTTTCATTGTTTTGGCCAAAATTTCAACCATTTTTCTCTTTTCCACGTTGTAATTAACATTTTAACAGCCAAAGTCAAGGTATTAATGGGGCTTTTTAAAGTTTAGGGGTATTATTAAAAAATCATTGTCAAAGTTCACACATATTTTGCATAATTTTACTTTAAATAAATAATATTCTCTGTAAAAGGTTGCTGGTATATATATATATATATATATTTGTTTTGGAAGCGAATTTCTGGTGTGTTTTTTACTAGTTTGAGGAGCACTCTATTTATGGGATTTATTATTTAAAACTACCTTGATATTTTTTGGGCAATATGAACCAATTTTTATTAAAATTTTTCAATTTCATCCATTGATTCACCTACTTAGATAAGTTATGTAATCTTTACCCTTGCAATCTTTTTACTTTTCAATATATTTTTGCAATAATAATGTAAACAGAAAAAATCATATCCATTTTAATGAATTATAAGCTTAAGACATGTTTGGTACAAAATTAATAAAATCTCAATAAAAACCCATACTTGAATTTTTGTTGAGATTTTTAAGTTAGGAAGATTTCAGATCAATTTCATACATGGATAAAAATTTATGTGTTCATTTGATAACTATTTCGTTTAGTTTTCAATTTTTAAAAATTATGTTTGTTTTTCTACAATTTTATTGGTACCTTTATTGAAAATATGTTTTAATTGTTAAGCTAATTTCAAAAGTAAAAACAAGTTTATGAAAATTTTTTTATTTTTAAATTTTTATATAAATTTTAAAATATTTTAGAAGTAAAAATTTTAAAATTTTGCAAACAAGAGAGAGAGATTATTGGTTAAAAAAAACGAAATTGAAAATAATAGTCATATACGATCTACGCCGTCGATGACAACTACTAAAAATATTAAAGGTTCAGAAATTTTCATTAATTTTACTTGTTTTTATCACCTACTGCCCCTCCATAAATACATAGAACAGTTGCAGTCCTTCTTCCATTTTATCTCCCCCAGTTTCTTCTGAACTCTTCTTCTTCGCGAAAATCATCGACTTCATTCTCACCCTTCCCAGCAAGAACATGGCGATGAAGTCTTTTGTCGACGTTCATTCGGACTCTCACTTCCCCATTCAGAACCTGCCCTACGGAGTATTCAAGCCTGGACCTGGTTCAGTTCAGCGACCAGGTGTGGCAATCGGCGATTATGTGTTGGACCTCTCTGAGATCGCTTCTGCTGGCCTCTTCGATGGACCTCTACTTAAGAACTCCGATTGTTTTCATCAGGTATTCACTTAAAGCTGAACTGTTTCTTGGCGATCTTTAAATTGCGCCATTTACCCCGCCGTTTTTTTGTCCGTGCTTGAGCATGTAATTGGAATCATGGATACATTGATCAAGACTGCGTTCCGTAGTCTTATTCTATCTTGAAATGCCGATGAATGGAAATTGATGGCTCTGCTTAGCAATTACTGAGTCCACTGTAGTGGTTGGTGCGCGTAAATGTGTGTTAAATTACTCGCGACTTGGTCAACTTACATTTTCACGACGTCATTCTTTCATAAGTTTATCCGTGCTTTTTTTAATCTTTTCCTGGCGAAATTGGCAATCAAGATACATGATATCTTAAATCTCGATGCATGCAGCCTAATCTAAACAAGTTTTTGTCTCTGGGACGGCCTGCTTGGATGGAAGCTCGTGCGACGCTTCAAAAACTGCTATCATGTATGCTTGCATAACTCTTACAATCAAATGCTTGATGCAATACGAGGAAAGTGTTCCCTAGCATAAATTAGAATTATATTGGAAGGATGGCCTATCAAGGTTTTATTATTTGCACGCTTATTAATTATAAGTTGGTAGATTATTTTCAGTGTTTTAACATGCTTATCAAACCAATGGGAAGAACTGGTTTTCCTTTGGTGCAGCTTCTGAACCAGCCTTGCGTGACAATGAAGCTCTAAGGTTGAGGTCACTTATTCCAATGGTAATAACATGCACAATTCAGAAGGTTCAACTTTCTTTCACATATCGCCTATCTAATGTCAATAAGATGTCTACATTTCCAGAATAAAGCAGAGATGGTTCTTCCTGTGGCCATTCAGGACTACACAGACTTCTTTTCGTCTCTGTATCATGCAAAAAATTGTGGAACTTTATTTCGGGGTTCTCAAAACCCAATTCTTCCCAACTGGTTTGTGGATACTTAATATGTGGCAAATAAACTCTTCAACGTCCTTTTTTCTTTTTAAGTTTTGGAAGTTGAAAATCCTAAGTTGTTATATATAGGTTCCACCTTCCAATTGCATATCATGGACGTGCATCATCCATTGTCATCTCAGGAACAAACATTGTTCGTCCTCGGTATGGTAATTTTTTTGAGTTTTCCCTTTTTCTGTTTGTTTTATATTTATTCTTTTTTAGTACTGGATAAAAAAAATGTAAAACGAGATAGAGGTGCTTATCTATATGCCAATTGTTTGGTAACCACCATCTGAAAATTGCCAACTTGAGCTTAGCTCAACTGGAGACACCTATCTTCCACCAAAAGGTCGTGAGGTCGAATCCCCACCTCCAGTGCTCCACATGTTGTTGTACTAAAAAAAAAAAAAAACCCCACTCTCTGAAAACTGTGGGATGAAAGATACTGGCCTTAGATGTTGTTCCTTCATTTAGTTTATGTTTAATGATGCCTCATATACTAATGGTGTCAATCCCACTTCTTTTCAGTTAAAAAGAATTATTGGTTCTTACAATAGGCTAGTTTGTATTGTTGGTAGAGTTTGTTCTTGCTTTGTTCTTTATTAGTTTAAGAGGCTTCCTTACCCTCTTGGTTATTTTTATTTTTATTTTTTTGCAAAGGCAGTTCTCTTGGTTATTGTTATTTTAATACTATATTATCATTCTTTCTTGTATGATTTCATTCTTTGGATTTTTCTCATGTATTTTTACCTTTCCCAGAGGCCAGAGCGCTCCAGCTGGGAACTCTCCACCACAGTTTGGTCCTTCTGCGAAGATGGACTTTGAGCTGGAAATGGTTAGAGTCCTAAACTCAGATGCCTGTGCTGATTCTTTTACCTGATATTGGTTGTGTTATATATCATGTTATGTTCTTCTACTTCTTTATGGCTATAATTTTTCATTCTAACATTAAATGTCAATGTTGCTTACAGGCTGCTGTTGTTGGTACTGGGAATGAGTTGGGAAAGCCTATAGATATCAATGAAGCAGAAGATCATATTTTTGGCCTAGTGCTAATGAATGACTGGAGTGGTACAAATACTTTGCTCTGCTAATTTTTGAAGTTCTGCTTGCTTGGTCAATATCTGATGTTTGCTTAGAATATTTTGACTTTTCACAGCTAGAGACATTCAGGCATGGGAATATGTGCCTCTGGGGCCCTTTCTTGGGAAGAGTTTTGGTAAACCTAACTTTCATTTTTTTTTCTTCTAGTCTTTAGTTCAAGGAGCTGAAGTTAAAATTTACACCATTGCATGTACTGGTTAGAGAATTTATTTAGTTTGCAGTATTTTGGCCACAATTCTGAACTCTTATTGTCTCTCTTTTCATAACTTCAAGGGACTTTACCTTTTTTTCTATGTAATGTTTTAGGTACCACAATATCCCCATGGATTGTTACACTAGAAGCTTTAGAGCCTTTCATATGTGATGCTCCCAAGCAGGTTCTGTTTCATATCATCTGTTTGTTTGAATAATAATGCCATTATGGCCCTGTTTTGCATGTTATGCGTAAAAGCTCTAACAGGTTATATGATTTGTGCCTTTTGTTGTAGGACCCACCTCCATTGCCATATCTAGCCGAAAAGACTTCCAAGAACTATGACATCTCTCTGGAGGTAGTTAATTCAGCTTAAATAAATCTATCATATAACATGGTAGCCCATGATTTTTCTCTTATTACATTATTGATTATTATATCTTCTAAAAATGCCAGTAGTTTCTTTCTCTCTCTTGCCATTTTATTTGTGTGGCTCATAAATTTTTTTTCATGCTCTTAGCAATGGAGTTTTGAGTTTGATTTCATGCTTGAGATAGTGATGAATATGTTTTCCTTCTGCAAGGTCCAAATTCGACCTGCTGGCCAACAAGATGCACATGTGGTGACAAGAAGTAATTTTAAGCATTTGTAAGGAGGCACTACAAATCTTTCAATTTTATATGTAAATCCCAATTTACGGTCATTTCGTTCCCCCTTCCAAAACCATGGATCATTGAACCTAGTTATACCAAGCAAGCTGTGTCCTTCCACATGATAAAAACCAGGTGGACACAGATGAAATTGTGAATCAGCCCCGGCATGATGATTCTATGGTCAACAATATTACTCTAGCTCTAACATGTTCATACACAGCAGTTCATTAACTCTTTTTACACTGTAATCATCATGGATTTTCAGTTGGAGTTTGGTGTGTTGTTTTTGCTTTCTCAATTCTTCATTTTCCTCTGAGCAACTGTCTGTGGTACTTCTCTATCTTTTCTTTATTTGCTTAGTTTGAAATGTTGTAGGTATTGGACGCTGACTCAACAGCTTGCTCACCATACTGTCAATGGCTGCAACTTGCAGCCAGGTGATCTCCTTGGCTCTGGCACCATAAGTGGACCTGTATGTCTTCTACCCATGATCCATGTTCATTTTTGCGAAATTCCATGAGGGGCATGTGTATGTGTGTGTGTCTCTCTTTAAATAATCTTTGTATGGGATGATCTTGTAATTTACAAGTCTTGTTCCACTTTGATTTGGACGCAGGAGCCGGATTCTCTTGGCTGCTTGCTGGAGTTAACATGGAATGGGCAAAAGCCATTGGAGTTATTACATGGGATACCTCGTAAATTTCTGGAAGATGGAGATGAAGTCGTGTTTACTGGTCAATGCAAGGTTGTTCTTTTTTTATCAAATTTATCTTCCTTTTTTTCTTAGCACGTTAAATCATCCTATATTCCCTGGCAACTCCTATCCTTATTTTTCATCAGTTCTTTCGCTTTCCTTCATTTGTCACGGTCCTGGAACATTAATCACATCAAACTTAGGAAGAGAAATTGCCTTCACCTAAAGATCATACGGTGTATTATAGGACTTCAGCAAAAACCTGGAAAAGATATATCACGTTGGAAAATGCAACTTGTATTTCGTACCTACTTTTCTTCTGTCATATATGATTCCTTCCATATGTATCAATTTTATTGCAGGGAAATGGTTACACTGTTGGGTTCGGGACATGCGCCGGAAAGATCGTTCCTTCAGCTCCTTAAAAGACATTGGTAGAGGTAGTACTGTCATTACCATCTTAGAACCGTTGAATGAGGAGTTTTTATTTTTTAATAAAATTTGCACAATCTGTAGCAGCAGGAAACAGCCTGATCTCCTTAGATTTATAAATCAGGTCGGTTGAATGAATTTGTGTTAGTTTTCCAGTTTTTAATTGATTTTTCTTCTCTGCATTCCCCTTAAAAACCGTCTATTTTCTAGATTCCAAAATTTTCTGCATTGAAAATGTAAATGGGGAGGATGGATTGGTGTGGCCTCATTCATGATTCTGCCCTCCTGATTTTTGACATCTTTCCTCCTCTTTAGTTATACTTATGGCAGTACCGCATGGAGAACATTTTCTGCACTCTGGTAATACGAAATCACTTCAATTTTAAATTTTCCAGAGATTCTTCTACCCAGTAGATTATACTCTGCATTGGATAGATGAAAGAAACGGAGTAACGGTGCAAATTTTGAATAACTTATTTTGAATTTCATTTTATAATTGTAATTGAGAATTTCTGAATTATAATAATGGATGAAGGACTCTTATGCGTAGAGAAAATCTGTAGGGAGAAAATTTATGTTCAATGAGTCATTTGCCCATCTCTGCCCCCATTCGTTAAACTAAAAGAAATCTCCACCTCATTTTCTACCCCCATTTTTATTTACTTGTTTTTTATTTATTTATAAAATTGCTAAAAGTTATATTAGAAATTTGGGTATAACTAATTGAAACAAATTATGACTTAAAAGCTTATTATTATGGGGTGGGATCAAATTCATGACTTTTTTTAGTTTGAAATATATATTAATTACCATTGAAATATACTTACTCTGGCATAAAGCTTCTAATGAAGAATCTTTAACAACATTAATTGTATTAATTGATATATATGCTGAAAAAAGTGATATTTGAATTTGTAAAATCATTTCATTCAAGCAACGTCATCAAACATGAGCAAAAGTGGACGAAAAATATAGAATTTCCTTGCTTGAGGCGGATGGCATGTAGATACCAATTTTACAAACTTTTGGAAAACAAGATAAATAGATACATATAATAAAAAAAAAAAAAAAAAACCCCCAAATGTTGTTAAGAAATTGAATAACTGACCCTTTCTCTTGGACCAAAAGCTCCTAATGAATATCCTCAATATGCATAAATATTTCGACACCGAAACCAAATTTTATCAGCTTCACAAAAGAGAGATTGATCAAACACAAAACCAACACACACAATATTTGGGTACAGTACAATTAATTCTGTCCTGATGTTTTTTCTTTCTTTTTTTTTTCTTCCTCTTAAGATGACTGCCAGTCTTTCCTGATATCAAACGTGTAATTGATTTCCAAGTAGCATTTATCATCGTCATCAACGAACTGCAAACGATAACAAACCAAATTATCATCCATATAAACAGAAAAATGGATTTTTCAGGAAAAAAAAAATTAAAATAAAAGAGGCAATAAATTAAAATTCAATTACCTTGGATCTTGCTGAATATGATCCTCGAGCAAACATGCCAGATGGGGTTGTATCTTCAGGCATTTCGTGAGTGTAAGGTTCCTCCTGAGGACTGAAAGTTCCCAGCATTTCCTTTGAGCTATCGACTGTTACAAAGAGTTCAAATGCATTTGAAAGGTGAGTTTTTTAAACTATCACTGAATTCAAAAGTTTAAGTCGGACGGGTTACCCTTGACACCAGTCTTCCAGACCGTATTGGCATATTTGAGACCAGCAACGATATTATTGCTAACTTTGAAGGTGAAGATTAAGTTGTAACGGCTACCTTCCTTCAAAGTAAACCAGGGGCCTTTGGGGTTTCCATTCTCAGGAACCTGTAGAATAATGTCTTCCCTATCTGGGGTTCTAATCGCTAGGCTCAGGATCTTTACCTCTGGTTCCAAAGTTTCTTTTCATTTGTACCCATCAAACCAAACACACACAAAATATCACAACTGTCAGCACTTTCTTCAATCAATGGCCTCGATTACCAAATTTTATTATTGAAAAAGAACACAAAGTTGGAACTTGGAATTGGATGATGATAATTTGAAAGCATTACCTCCTACAGCAGCGATATCCACACTCCCAAGAAGCTGTTCCTTCCACCTTCTGAGGCTCTCATCATCCTAAGAGAACACCCATTTTGGAAGGCATTAAATCATTATATGTTGAACACAGCATGAGGCGAAAAAAAGGAAGAAAGAAATGAATGCAAACTGGAACCTTATCTTTCTCAAGTTGTTCTTTGAGGGTACACTGAGGACCCAACTCGATCTTCCTTCCCTCCTCATCTTCATCCTCCTCTGGTGCACATATGGAAGTTTCGCTCAATTTTCTACTCAATCCAACACTGTCCTCCCCCTGTTCTTCTTTAGCTTCCTTTTTCTCAGGAGAACCATTTCCTTCTTCCAGACCCATTTCCTCAAAAGACCATCCACCCCACCAAAGAAAAATACAGAATCAGACCCCCAAATGGCAGACAAAAGAAACAGACTTTGCCCACCTACAGACAAAGGAAAAAAGTGGGTCGAAAGAGCTACAGAGAGAGACAGAATTGGGTGGGAAATGGGAGAGAATTGGAGTCAAAAGATATAGAGGTAGGAGCAATGAGGTCCAGGCAAAAGAAACCAACAAAATGGAAGAGAACCCAACCCAACGAGAAAAGAAAACAAAAAAGAATTGGTGAAAGAAATGGCAGAAAGGGGATATAAGGAAATGAAGAATGGAGAAAGGCAGAGGAAAGGATGAGGGAATTAGGAAGAAAAAGAAAAGTGGAAACGTGAAGAGAAATGGTCATGTGGTGATCCTAAAAATAACTAAAACGAGAGGAGATCGTGCAGGTCACTAAGAGTCAGAGATCAGAACCATTGTTGTTGTTTGTTTGTTTGTTCCGTCTTCCATTTCCATGGAGGAAGGGCGAGATTCGAGGAGGGCATTCTAAATTTAGCTCATTCAACAAAGACAGAGCAGCTTAGGTACAGCCAGAGAAATGGATTGTGTGGACCAGAGATGCCATTTTGACCTCTTCTTACGCACATCATAATCATTGCTTCTCTCCATTCCCTCTTTTAACTTTCCTTGCCTCCAAATTCCAATACTTAGTTTCAATTTAACTTAAATTATTTTATAACCCGGACCTGCTCAATAAAATTTTTAAAAGGTTTAGGATGCGAATTTATTATATGTGTTAAATTTTGATCGACTTTGGATACAAGTGGTTGATTTCAAGTACAATTTAATTAATTTTTGTTTTGAAAATCTTTTTTCAAATATGGTTAGTTTTATCAATATTTTGTAAGCTAGTGAAAAAAAGAAAGGAAGATAAAAATTTATTTTACTTTGATTTTGTAAACAAATTTTATACTTATTATTTAACTTCAAATCTCTTAATCAAACCATCCTTATATTTCTCAATATTTATTTGGGTTCTATTATGAGCCTTTTGTCAACTCTATTATGTATGTAATCATGAGTCCTTAGGTACCTCTAGAATCACAAAGCCTTAGAAGATTGTCTCATTCGTCACGACTGTATCTAAACTCTGGAAAATTTAAAAGTGATTACGCAACTCCATGCTTAACTGGAAAACATTCGAAATCAAAAGAGTATTAACCCTTTTTTTCCTTCCTTTTTCTATGGATATTTGAGGGGAAAAGAACCTTTTTTCCCCCTTTTCCTATGGATATTTTAGGGGGAAAATAGCTTCTTTTCTTACACAGCAAAAATATTGCACATTGACCAAAGATAATCCACGTTTCTATCGGCTAAATCTTGGATCGTGTAAATCAGCTTGAATGATTGATGGTTTTGGATTGGAATCCACATAAAGTTTTTCTTCTCTTTTACCTCTCTTTCGTTGGAGGGATAGTCGCAGTTTGATGTAGCTTATTTTATATAGTTGATTTGATCATTTTAAGAACAATTCCAGTATTTCTCAAGAAAAATAAGAATTATGTTTGTTATCTGTTTGATCGGAGATGTATCATATGAAAATAATGAGTTAAATGTGAATTCGAGTAACTCAAAATTTTCTCTAAGAAATCAGCACAAAACAAGAACTGCTAATTCTAGGAGCCAAACATTCTATAAAAAATTACACAGCAACATATTGGATTGTTGAAACATGAAGATCAAAAGTAAATGAGAAGTGGAATGATCAATCGCTCCCCCATTTTCTTGCAACTTTCTCTTTAGCAGAGACATGGCCAGAAACTTCTCTGTTTGAAATCTCATCAAACTCAGCATAATTTCCAGCAGAGCTCTTTCTCAAAATTTTTGAAGTAATGAAAGTCAATCCATTCCTTGTTCCTCGTAAAGCATACAGCAGTGGGTTGAAAATAACGGCAAGCAACAGTTCACCCTTTGCAACTATGAGGTACTTTTATTGAGAGAAAAAAACAAGCCAAAGCCAGTGCAATGAGAGGGTTGGATTGCTTCCAAACAATTAACCAGAAAGAAGCTAAAAATGGATGAGAGGAAGGAAACTACTTACCATGACAATTATACCTAAAACAGCAAGACTGGTCTGTTGTGCTTCTGGCCAGAAATGGTCATCGGACCAACCGAACCATCCACCTGATCCGAACCAACCTCCCTGTCCACCGCTGCCTCCGCCACCCATCTCCTCTCTTTTCTTTATTTCGTTGTTCCATTTCTCAAATTCGTTTTTCTTTTCCCCAAGTGCACTTTCTAATGCCTTCCTTGCCTGTTCCTGCTATCAACAAAGAGAAGGCAAATTTAAGCAAGATTTCCTTTGTTTCAACTCCGAATTACATTTTTCAGGCCCAACAATGAAAAGGGAAGCACTGGAAGTTTGTGAATGTAGTAGATCAGGTACACATTGGGAAAACAACATCAACAAGAAGTTAATTCTCATTGTTGTTGCTTTTTGGGATGGGCGTGCATATCTAACAACATTGACATTTCTCTGAGAGAGGGAAATGAAGTAACCAGAAAAATCCACATGGATGGTAAAATACGGGATAGAATGCTTTCAGAAAATATTTGAAACAGATAGAAATAAGTTGAAATACTCTCTTATACACAATAAGAACAATTCATATTTCAATCATCAGCAGCCCTTTTTTGGGCAAAATGCCATGAGTGATATGTACAAATCCAATGAAATCTATTTAGTAAAAGTAGATATACACGGTTGAAAGGCCAGAACATCAGAGATGATAGAGCCAAAATTTTACGTGACATTACATAATCATCAGACCATCAAAATGCGATCCGCCACCAAACAGACGGAACAGTACACTACAGACAGTCCTAACAACAAGGTTTTTCCATAGAAATGTTTAGATTTACGGTTTTCTAAGTTCAATAATTCAATGGTAGAAAGATCAGTATCCACTCAAATTTTGTTGTGGATTAAGCATACTCGTAACGTGCTCCGGGTCATTAAGTTCCAATCTCCAAATCATCCGTATCTCCCATTGGAACTCTAAAAGTAATTTTCCAACCTCATTGTTCAAAATGTTTCTTAAAAATTTTCCCCAAGCCAAGATTATTCTCTTCTGGAGCCAAAACCCCCAGTATAAAATTTCACCACCCGTTTTCCTATCCTCGAAAAAGTAAAGAAATTCCGCCGAAACGAAAATATCAATATCAAAGAACATCTTAATTCCTGATAACGAACACTAGAAAGAAAAAAATAAACTAAAAATTCTATTCGGTTAGAGAAAAAACGCCGAACCTCTCTTCGATTGTCGGAGAAAAGGCAAGAGAATCTGGCGTTGCACTTGAGCTTGGCCTGTAAACGCGCCCAATTGTGTGCTGAATTCCGAGGGCGAATTGAAGGGACGCCGGAGCGAGTTGACTCATCAGGAATCGAGGTCGGCGGCGGCGGGGTTAGATTGAGAATCCGAAGCATGGTTTTAGCATCTCCCGGCAACAGGGAGGAGGCGCTGGCCGCTGGGTTTTGGTTTTGGCTACTCTCTCCACTAATGGGAAGGGATAGATAGATAACTTTATGGTAAAAAATATAACTTTACGGTGAAAAAAAATGAAAATTTGACGTATTCTTGACCACTTCCCTCACAAACAAGAGCTGAAATGTAAAATGGTAAAAAAAAAAAAAAGAAATTTTGACCTATCCTTGACCACTTCCCTCACGAACAAGAGCTAAAATGTAAAAGTAAAGTTAAACTACAAATTTCATCATAAAATATGATTATTATATCTATATCAATGAGAGAATTTTATAATCTGGATCGAATAATGGTTAAATAGTGTAACCGTAAACCTAAACATACTTCAATTGATTAAGAGTTTTGCATGTCGAATTAAACCATTTGCGTAGGTTCCATCAATTTTTTTTTTATAGTTTTGATCTTGCAAGTTGCAACTGTACTCCCTAGACAGAGTGGCCCAATGATGAGGGTGACTTGCAATTATTCTCTAAACAGAGTGTTTCATGCGTTAGCTGAACCGTACCCCTACTTTGCATAGACCAAGAGCGAACATCGTACCCATCAATATTTATAGTATGGACTACTAGGATATCTAGATGTTGTTAGCTCCCATGCTTTTACACCCTAACATATATCGGTGGAGATCCAAAGAGCTACCTCCACTTTTGTACACGAAATTCCACTTTCCTTTATCTCACTCAAGTGAATGGATTTGAGAGCATTCAATTTCAACATGATTCATAGCAAAACTGGCTATCCAATAATTTCAAAGAACACCTGCCTCCTTTGTCTTACTGCAGTTGTTAGCATAGAATTAGTTGGGACTTCTTCATCAATGAGCTTTACAGGTGATATTGTCCTTATTCATCATTCCCGTGATATCGTCGCTAGATAAAAGTTGAAGGTTTAAATTTTCGTTCCCAAGTTCTCTATTGTTGAACTCAATATATATATATATATATATGTATGTAATAAAATATAAATTAAATAGTAGATTCATCCCAATCTAAACTTCAAAATATTTGGGTCGGATTTTTGTTAGTCTTATTAAAAAAAAGTAATAACATGATGAACATATCCATTTGCTCATTGAATCAAATTGAGTAGTTTAATTTTGATTTTATTTTGTGGCAAATTTATATTCGAAAAGTCTCGTCTAGTAGTAGATTTGTTTAAAAATTATTTGGGAGTAAGAGATCCAACAGAAGTACTGGATGAAATGGAGCTAAAATAGATAATTGGTGTATTATCCCAACAATTTCATTGAATTCAGTATCCAGCTGAGAAGAAGAGAAGAATTTGGTAAATTACAGTGTCAGGAGTTTCACAATTTGTTTCTCTGCTCTGCAAATGTAATCTTTGGTGCATTAACGAACAGAAAACTGGAAAAAGAAGAGCGAGAGAACGAGGAGGAAGAAACCCACACAAAGGGATATTGCAATTTTCTTCAACTTCTCTTCCGCCGCCAAATTCGAATTCATCTGCTCCAAATTTTGAATCCCATCGTCAGATCAGATGTATTCACAAGGCAAGCAATTTCAACTTTCATTTGTTTTTCAAATAAGTTTTTATTGTCCGAAAATTAAAATAAATCAATTGCATAATTCAAGTGGAGTATAAGAAGTTTATGCTATATTTGAAAAAAAAAAAAAAAGAGCTGTGTAATATTTTAAAAACTCCACTCACTAGATTGGGCATGAGCTGAACAAGAGGATCCATAATCGTCTCCAAGTTTCTGAATCCAATCCAGTACAAATCATTCAAACAAAAACTAAAGCTTAGAGCTTGCAGAAATTAAATTTTTACATTCCAAATGTCTTGTAAATTTTGAAACTTTTCAAATTTTGTTGGTTTATTATAATATTTTATTGAGTTCTCAAAAGCTTATTAACTTAATTCCCAATACTCTTCAAGAACTTCCTTACTGTTTTGAAATGTTATGATTTTGAGAAAAGATTGTACTTAAATATGGTAACCGAATTCATTTTTAACATGGAAACATTATTTGTTTGAAAAATAGTAGTAAATTTATTTGTTTTCATATTTTTAAGTACCTGAACAAATGGTAAAGAACAATTTGCAAGTATTCAATTACGTACCCAAGAAGTAACTTTCCTCCAAAGCTATTCTGAGAAGTGACATTGATTCCCTTTCCCAACGTCACAACGATTTTTTCCCACCCTGCCAAACCGAAAGAGCCAGCTTAAAATAGTAAAATTGTGAAGTTTTATATTTGTGTCATTTTTGTAAAATGTTTTATCTTGCGATAAATTTACCATTTCTAAACGAGTTGTTATTGCAAAAACATGCATTTAGTTTGGAATTTGTACCTAATTTCCATTTAACACCCACATTGGATCCACCATCTGTTGTTGGCTGCACCGAGAACACTAGGCTATTTTTCAAGCTATTGACGAGACGAGAGGCGTAAACCGACATCAGCTGCAACATTATTAAATTAAAACATAATAATAATAATGATGGTGATGATAATGAAGCATTTTGATTATTTATCCAAGACCAATTAGAGAGAGAGAGGGGAGATGGGTTTGGGTTTTGGTGTGAAATTACCAGTCTGGCCGGGAGGATTCGGAAAAAAGGGTTGGAATTGTTGAAAAGCTTTTGGAATGTTGGGAGTGGGAGAGGGAGAGGGGTATTATTGGCTTTACCCTCTCCTGTTTCCGGTTGCGGCGCGGAGGTTTTGGCGTCCCCGTTGCATTTTACGCGCACAGGCACCGAGCCACGGCGCTGGGGCGGCGGCGGGTGCAGGTAATATCTGCAGTTGCTGTTGGGGGTTGGGAGTATTGTGGTGGGGAAATAATGGATGAAATTTGCCGCCATTGGAACTTGGGACTTGGAAGAAGGATTATTGTTGATGGTTTTGGAATAAGGAGGAGACAAAATGGATAATTAAATATGCTAAAGCTAGCCACTCCACGAAGGAAGGAACTACGTCTTTTTTATCTAACCCAAACCAAGAATCTTTCATTTGTTGGTTTTAAATCATTGCCAGGAATGGGCCTGCCTAAATATGATTGGGCTTGGGCCTTGGTGCCTAAGCTGGCCCGCTCGACGAAAAGGAAAAAGGAAAAAATAAAATGTTTTTTTTTTCTTTTAGAGTCGGAAATGGAATAACTAACTTGGTCAAAGTGTCGGAGGAAAGATAAAAGAGGGTCCCAAAGCTTTAGAGAGTCAACTTCAACTTCAACTTGAAGACAGATTTTCCAAATTAAAGTGGCCGAAATTTCAGTTACTTTAAGAAAGTAACACCGCCAGAGGCGGCGGAGGGTAGCCGGAAAGGATCTCCCAACTTCTTTGGCCGCCACAGCCATCCAACAGAAACTCGAAACTATATATTATTACTTCTTATTCCTTTTCAATATAATAGCATATTTGTAACACACTATCTTGACAAAAACGAACAAACTACATGCAATAGAACTTGCATGTCTGGCTAGCTATGTGTACATAGGTTTCCATAATTTGAGTGAGATCTGTTATGGTTCAAAATTAATATCGTTTATTCGAATTTCTTTGTTTCTTATATTAATTATGTTCTTTATTTCTCGTATAACAGAAACTCTTATCGAGCTACATTAGTTATGTCCTTTTTTTTTGTCATTATTGCTATTAGTCTCTTATCTAAACGATTTACTTGTTACTAATAGAGTATGGTCGACTAACCCTATGTACTTCGTCCGATCTCTTATTTTACTTTGTCAAATCCAACAAACCCTATGTATTCCTTCTTTACCTTCTTTATTTTACTTTGTAAAATCTATTTTTCAATAACTATACCTACATTTTTTTAGGGACATGCATGTGAAAATGCATATTACATGCAACTCCATGAAGCTTCAATGTTCCAGGAATTGACTAATTTATTTGATTTAATCCTACTTGAGTTGAATGAAATGAAACTTTCACACCGTAATACTTGTAATATCAATATTAATGTATATATACATATATTATATTATTTCAATAATAAAATGATACACAAATATTATTATTATTATTTGAATTTTACTTGACTGCAGCTCTATTGCCTGTTATTGCGAGTCAATTTGAGTGACGTATATAGATCAAAAGACGATGGATGATTCAATATTTTACATCTGAAATCAAAAAAAGAAAAAAAAAGATTAATAGTTCCCGAATAAATAATGTTGAGCTTTTCCATAAAGTCAGATTTGGGCAAAAGCCGCTGGATTTTCGATTACTTTTCGCATTACAAAGTTTCAAAACCAATAAATCACAGATAAAATTGCATAAATATATAAACGTGGTGGGTGCAACAAAATAATTACCAGTTTTTTTCCAAGTTGGACACTCCTTTTGCCAACCGGATCTGACGTGTTTACATGCCGCCGATTACTTTTTATAATTTTAAAATTCAATATACTAATAATTTAACTGATTTAATTTCTTCTATCCACGTCATCCTTTCAAAAAAAATATATACATATATAAATGGAGTGCAAAAATTTTAGAATAGGATACTTTTGTTAGTTCAACCATCATTGTTGAATACAAACTATAGTTTTTGTTGAATCTCCTAACATGATAACTTTATCATATATGTCAATTATATGATGTTATCAATTAAAAATGTGAATATCCTATTCATTTCAAAGAAGATCAATTACATTTCTCCTAACAATATATAATAAGATATGATAATCTTTTTTAACATAAATTATAACGAACAAAAAGCTAAAAATATAAAACTCCAAAACATACAAAAATGAAATCTAACATTTCATGCCAATAGTAAAATTTTATTTAAGAAAAATATATTACTATAAAAACACACTTCTCACAAAAATAAAAATAAAAAAAGAAATGGAAAATTAAAGGTTATTGAAGTGTCCGATGTGGTTTTATAT